GCTGAGGTGAGAACATTTTGAGAATATGCACGTCTTGGTGCCCGGAAATTGCATTCTCATACTCCAAAAACCATACCGGTACTCATAATGATAAAAATAATAATCAACAATAAAACAATCCGCCCCAGAATATTTATTTGTCAATATTATGATATATCATAAATTCATGAAATGCCTAATAGGCCCTAAACGATAACATAACTTGACCATAGTTTGTTCTCAATATTCTTGAATTTTTTAAACAAAATATTTTTTAGATATTTCTGAAATGCCGCATCTGTTTTAAAATATCTCAGATTGTATGAGCATTAAGAGTTTCGCCTGAGTAGACCCCACTAAAGGCTCTGTCTCTAGGTCCAATCAGGTACATTTTTACCAATTTTACCTAGGGCCCGGCAGTTATCTACGCCATAGTTACCAACCGTCACGCATCGTGCGGGACAGTCCGACGTTTCAAAGTGATTTTGGATGAAACACGCATTTTGCAGAAGCACATGCGAGATCATAAATGTGTCACGCATTTAGCACTTGCGTGATAACGAATTATCAAAAATTCAGGGGAAAACGTATTTAAAATTAGAAGAAATTGGTTTTATAAAAACGGTCATACAGTAGCTTGAGTCATACAGTAGCTTGAGTCATTGCTTTCATGATCTCGTTCGAGAATCAATTCACAGAGAAAATTTCTCCATTCCGACCAAAACAACCCAGCCAACCACGCACTTGTAGAATAAGGTGACCCGTGTATAAGACGACCCCCGAGTTTTAGAAGATTTTTGGTTGATATTTGTATGTCTGGCGTATAAGACGACTCCCTGTTTCAAGGTCGGAATTCCTAATTTTGTGTGGTCCTGATTGCATCTAGCTGGATAAATGTAGCCAAATGCAAGGGTAATCTTCCAAATAATAACATTTTATGAGTTTTTAAATCTTCACCATCAAAATCGTATTTTCCCGTATTTAAAATTGCTTTCATTCATACAACATTTAGTTGCTTCATACAGTAGTAAGTTCGCGTGTTACGGACGATCCGCACATAAGACGAACATGATTATAAAAATCTAAAATATGAATGTCGTGCGTATAAGACGACCCCTAAGCTTTTTCGATAGTAATTTGCTATTTTAAGCCAGGTCCTATTATACGCGAGTATATACGGTATTTATTTTAAAACCCTAGGTCACCTGAGCTTTAGTAATACAGTGGCGAATCCAAGGGGGAAATTTTCCATGGGGAGTCTTTCATTTTGGGTATTTTTGGAAATGTTTTAACCCCCCTCTTTCAAATCCTGGATCCGCCCCTGCTGTTTCCCATCGGCCATAAGTAAATAAAGCTGTTAAGATTTTCCAAACACTGGATGGAAGTTACTTGAATTCCCCTATTGCTATTAAAATCTTTTCTGTCTCCTGCTTGGGGGCCATTTCTAATTACCTGTCTTTTAGGGCCATTTTTACTTTATTGCTGTATCTTTATATTCATCATTTAAAGCAATAGCTCAAAGAGTAATATTGTGCATGCTAATTTATGTGGATCATTACATCGATTGCTTTGGACGCTTGTCTACCTACACAATATATTTCCTCCGTGATCTACTTGAAATAATTATATTAATATATTTCCTCCATGGTGATACAATGTAAAATACACAACAACGCTTAATTTAGGCCTTACTTACTGTTTGGTAGACAAATTATATGACATCAGCAAATCTCTGTATCATGTTAATGTGTACTGCTTTGGTATATAGAAGTAAATAAGAATATAAATTAGAGAAATAAGCACGATAACCGTAAATTTGTTCCGTAGCATCATTATTTCACGTTTTCTTGTTCGAAGTGTCTATGCTTACGCCGAATCGTAAGCATTAATCATAGGCTATGCTTACGCCGATTTATTTGAAGGGCGCCGCTTGCTTCGTGAGTACGAAAACGTCTTATTGAGCATGTGCAAATATTTTTTTTTCTGTAGCGCGCACTTGGTGAAGTTTCAAGATGGCAGATGAAGACACTTTGCGTCTCGGTGGCACTTTCACAAGCTATGAAAAATTGTCAGAAGCTGTATCGAATTGGGAGA